AACAGCACGTGCCCAGCAAATACCACACACACACTGTTCTCCGAGCTCTGCACATTTAGGCCAAGCTTTTCAGGGCAGTCACAGTTTTGCTGAAGTACCCAACACCAATTAACACCAATGTCATCTTCCATCAACAGAGCACAAAGGGAGGCGCTGGGGAAACCGGTGTCTTCCAGAGGGGCAACAAGAGCAGCATGGGAGGTAACACCACACTCATAGAGAGGACATTTTCTAAGCCAGTGTTTCTCAACCTGTGGGTTGCGACCCGAAAGTGGGTCACAAAAATATATGAAAGGGTCACAAGCAAACTTCAAAAACGGATTCTTCTTTAAAGGAGAAACATGTGAGAAACTGTGGCTTTTCTCTTGCAGGCTGTCAGGATTCCTGGGTTGGGCCTGGCCACTGATGTTTACAAATGGGTCCTGGTACAAAAAGGGTTGAGAACCACTGCTCTAAGGCAGATGTGTGTGTGGGGGCGTGTCTGCAGCCTTCAGCAGACACAGATCACTACAGTTCCACAGCTTCCTCCAGAGGTCTGTGCCCCTGCAAGGCTTTGGCCTACTGCTGCCCACAACAGAAGTCAGGACTGGTCCCAGGGGAGGGGTGAAGTGTGGGCAGCCAGTCGTGGGCACAGAGTGATGGGAACAGGCCCTAACCCTGCCCAGCCAACAGTAGGAAGTGCACAGTTAAACAGGCAGGAATCCCACATGCCTGTACGCATCACCCCCAACTTGCCTGAGCAAGGAGCTCTGGGACCAGAGGGCCTCCCCAACCCCTAAGTGAGGCTGGGGTCTGACATGTGGTTCCCCATTGGCCTGGGTGACAAGAATTCACAGGGCTGACATGTGACATACCTCTTTTGGGGACTTTCAGGGAAGATGACTCTGGTGTTTCTGGGGAGGTCGTGTCTGCTCCATCTTCAAACACCTGGATCTGAATAACATTTAACAAAGTTGTGTTATCAGTGATCCCCTGCAGCTGCTCAGGGCTTTAGCCGACTGGCTTTAGGTCTTTGCACAAGCTTTGAGCTCATTTCCTCAGGTCAGGAGCTTGGCATGCCTCCCTCTCCAGCTTCCTGGAAGAGCTTTAAACTGAACAGAAAGCTGCAGGGGATGTGAGGACAGCCACCCAGGAAATCCAAAGCAGTTTATAGCTGGTTAGGTATTGCAAGCCAAGCTGGTGACCTCAAGGCACAGGACCCCAGGGCACGAATCATTTTCATTATCTGCCACTCGAGAAGCTAGCGGGGTTTTTAAAGCACGTTTGATCTGATCAAAAGTGAATATGAAAGAGACTCCCTTACTCCTCTCAGCCAGATGAGCTACTTCTGAATAATCTGCAAAGGTGCCATGTCCAAACAGTCACACCTCCGACAGGGAACCAGGCTCCTGGAGACGCCAGGGCTGGCTTGGGGCATTGCAGTGAACTTGGAAAATCTCGGATAGAAGGGCTTGGATTGGTATCTTTAATTCCTTCTGTGGCCTGGATTTGGCTGACATGAGGCAGGAAAGGGGGCTCTGCAAGGAAACTGCAGCTCAACTGTCAACTGCCAAGCAGCAAGCGGCGACTGCTATTTCTGGAAGGTGCCTGGGTACCAGATGCATGTTTCTAAATGAGAAGGAAGAGGCAGCCTGAATGAAACTCTACAGCCACTGAAACCATGACAACGCTGCGGCAGGAGTGGGAACATTCAGCCCTGAGTTTCCCAGCAGGGAGAGGAGAAACGTCCCCTGGAACCTGCTGACAGCACATCTCCAACATGCTGCTGTCTGCTGATGACCGCTGGGGCAAGGTCAGCAGTGTGGAGGCTTTTGAGCTGATTCACCACAGCCATCTCAGCACCCAGCACTGAGAACCCAGCAACACAGGACACAACAGAGCCTTACTACAGGGGACCTCCCAGCCCATCACACACCTGAGCTCCTCAATAACAAACTGAAAAAAATTACGCTGTTTTGGCTCTTCCATCTAGTACAGCTCAGCTGATGGCCTCAGGTATCTGGGCACAGGACTGCAAGCGCTGACATCAGGATCCGGGTGTGCTCTCAGAGCTGCAACTGGTCCCTCTGAGTCCAGGATCAGGCAACCAGGCACTGACCACTGGAAGGTCCCTGGGTACTTACTACTAAAGGGTCTGAACTCCACCATCACTATCTAGCTCACCCTCCTGAATTCCTCCTAGCTGAATACATTCATCTTCACTTCTCCTTCCACCCGACCCCCAAAACTGCTTACTCTCATTCTATAACAGAACTTCTGCTGCATTTATGTCCCAGAGGGGGGTGAAGCAACCCCCACAGCTGCATGGGCACTTGGGATCCAACTGCCTGGAGCAACTGATAATGCTGAAAGGCAGAAATTAGAACAGAGCTTTATTCTGATTTTTTTTTTAAAGCTTGGAGAAGTACAAGGAGCTGCAGAGACAGCGGTGGGATTTCTAAGCCTGTGGCTCAGAACAGAGAACAGGAAGTCATCAGTATAATAAACCCCAGGCTCCAGGTGAGGGTGTTCAGCTCAGTCACTGCCCCAGCCAGCAGCAGTCTCAGGTGGGAAGAGCTGCAGAGCCAGCAATACACCACTGGAGACACCAGGCAGTGCTCACACCCCTGCTTGCAGGGACATTCCCAGCTCTGGCAAGCAGCAGCGAATAGGGAAGGTGTGATTAGAAACAAAGGAACACCACATCGGTCCTCTATGCACCCCTTTCATGGCTGGGCTCCTGGCAAACCCAAGAAGGCTGATTTTCAGGGGCTACATGCTCATTTGCATCATGCCAGTCAGCTTTTCCCCTCTCCTCCAGTAAGCTACTGTTCAAAGGGGCAGCATGAAAATGGTTGTGGGGCTGGGGCACAGGATTGGTGAGGAGAGACTGAGGAAACTGGGCTGATTTAGTTTGAAGAAGACAAGACTGAGGGGGATTGAATAGCAGCCTTCAACTCCCTGCAGGGGGTTGCAAAGAGGATGGAGCTGGACTGTTCTCAGTGGAGGCAGATGACAAAACAAAGAACAATGGGCTCGAGCTGCAGCAAGGGAAACTGAGGTTAGAGATGAGGAAAAACTCTTTGGAGGAGGGTGGTGAAGCACTGGAACAGGCTCCCCAGAGAGGTGGTGGAGTCTTCATCCTGGGAGGTGTTTAAGACCCAACTAGACAAAGTCCTGGCTGGGATGATGCAGTTGGGGCTGGTCCTGCTTGGAGCAGGGGGTTGGACTAGATGTGGCCTCCTGAGGTCCCTTCCAACCCTCATTGTCTCTGGTTGCATGGTGTTGCTCTCCAGGGTACTAAGCAACGCAACTAGTTCTTCCCTTGACTCTTTGTGCCAAGAACTCATCAAGACATACACTACCTGCTACCCTTGACTTGCTGCACACCGGGCCCAAGAACACACACTTGCAGACATGGGCCCCTGCTCTCTAGGCAGGACCTGCGGCGTGCTGCCCAGTCACAGGGTAGTAATTGCTGCAGAAGTCCCCAGCAGTATTTTTATACCTCCACTTCCCTCAGAATGCATAAAATGTGAGACTATCTTGGTGTCCAGGTGCCAAGAACCAGCAGAGCAGCCTGGGGCAGAGGCTCACTGAAGGCTTGTCCCACCTCTAAGTGGCTAGCACACAACCATGCCCCTACTATGCACTGTAAATTTTCTTAAGGAACAGATAAGATACACATGCGATGATATCAAGACTTCTTATGAACTGTCCTTCCAGCTAAAAGTCCCTGAAGCAGTTAAGAGACTACAGCTGAGTCTTCCAGGTGCAACTGCTGTTTGCACTCATTTGCACTGATTGGCTGGCACAGAAGAGTAGGGAAGTTATTTGGACCTGGGGAAACACTTTTTCTGGTTTTCTCAGAGCTGTTTTGCTCAAAAGGATGCAGGTGTCTATCTCTTTCATCAGCGCTGCCCAGGGAAGCTGTGGAATCTCCATCCCTGGAAATTTGTAAGAGCAGGTGAGATGAATTAGACCAAAACTGCTGAGACCCGAGGATCCCAGCTCGCACTAGATGCCCTCTGGAGGACCCTGCCAGCACATAGTTTCATAGTTTCTAGGGTCGGAAGGGACCTGGGCAGATCATCTAGTCCGACCCCCTGCCATGGCAGGAAAGAGTACTGGGGGTCA